TTTACTAATCGCTGACATTAAAACCAAATTGCATTATTAACACAAAACATTATCTTATATTAAAGCGGGCATGTATCAATTTAAGTTGAAGTTTTAAAAGGAGGGCATATATCAAGCCGGGGTTCGAATCCAAGAGCTTAATAAGAAGTCACCCAAAGCGATGAACAATAAATTGATACAAAAATGTGTTTAAAGTCCGGTTCCGGGACAGTATTTTGTGCGTTCCAGGACCACAAGATGGGAGTTTGTGAATATGTGTGTGCACAACAAGCGGCCGCTGTACCGAATTGTATTAGCAAAGTGACATTAAGTCATTGCATACATTTTTTGCAAATGTCGGCTTTTTATTTTTGAGACTCCAGTCTTATTTCCCTCGCTCGAGTTGAGTCAAGTTTTCTGATGAGGGACTCGAATCGAGTCATTCACCCATTGGGACTCATGTCGAATCGAGTCATTAAACCCATAGGTACTCGAGTCGAGTCAAGTCACCAAAAAAAATGTGACTCAAGTCGGACTCGAATCGAGTTATTGATTCGAGTCATTACAAATCTGGCAAGACGTCTTGCATCAAAATGATCCCTGCCTGAGTTTATAATGCGACGCCGATGCCACATTGCGGAACACCAAATCTTTGGTCAATCTTCGGGGAAAGACAGACAGACAGACCCTCCGACCGACCACCAAGTGACATGTGCAAGCTCCTGCAAGAGCTAAATATATATTATGGAATTTACCTCAATGTATCAATAGTAAGACATTTTCTGAAAATCGGATATAATAGGCGTAACGATAAGTTTAATAATTAATAATAATTCACAATATCTTTATTAAACTACTACCCCTGCTTTTAAACAAATTCAGTTTTTATCAACAAACAAGGTTTGTCTTATTTGAACGACGACATTCCTTCATTGTCATTTCGTCTCCGTTTTCACGAAGAGCCACATATGTGGATTTTGAAGGAATATCGTTTTCGAGATAATCGCAAAAGCAGTTTCTCACATTTTCAAACAGTCTACTAAAAATACCACTTTGCAACAACTTTGTGCAGCAAGGAAACCATCACATGATTCTGTGAGAGCTGAATTTTTACATGAACCCAGTATTTATACTTAATACAGCAGTACATTGGTGAAAATTAATTAGTTAAGATAGGTGGCTCTTCATGAAAACGAAAATTCAGGTTTCCAACATTTTGGCCCTTTCTGTTTAACGTGTGTCCGGTTCGTCAATGTGACGTCACCTTCAGCACTTTCTGCACGATTGGAACCGGAATTTAACGCAGCTAGAGCGTTTGTGGCCAATGAGCGCTAGTATTCAATGGTGGGCGCGCGTGAATGACGTGTTTACAGTACTAACGAACCGGATTAACAGAGGCGCACGTGAGTACCCGCGCGCAGCTGAAAGTGTAACAAAGATAATGTGGCTCTTCGTGAAAACGGAAAACTCAGTTGACCTCCTTTTACGTACTTCCGTGCAATAGGTTTTGTACACGTTAAAGGGGCTAAAATATATGTGGCTCTTCGTGAAAACGCAAAATGCATTTATCGAGATTTCTGCCCCTTACAACATTAATGTAACTGGGAAATTAATGATGTTTTGCTTAGGCCAAAAAAAAAATCTCCGGTTTCTGGTATGCGCGCGCGTCGACGAAGCTATGCGCGTCGGCAAAATGAAGTTGTTTTTTTTTAATGAAAGATGATGTCTTAAAACCGCCAAACTCACTGGTTAGACTGGAATTCTGCTGCTGTGCAATTTCAACGTGTTTTTAGATGGGGTTATGATCGAGAATAAGCTTTATGTGGCCACTCTGGACTCCCATATATTTGCACTAAGTTTAGTCGGGCACCATTTGCAGTCATCAGCCGACATTTGAAGCAAAAAGTCGGGTAAAAAAAAAAAAGCCGCGTCGCCGCACCACTTTTTGGACAAGCTCCATACCAGAAACCGGAGACTTTTTGTTTTTGCCTTACAGAAACATGTCAAAATGGTTAAGTACATTGTTTTAATGCAAAATATTAGAGAAGTCGAAATTTAGTATTTGACATATGTGGCTCTTCGTGAAAACGGTGACGATTTGGGCGTCTGCAACTTTCTATCAATTTGGATTTGTTTCTGCATCTAACGACCTGTTGTGTTGACTTTTTTCCCACAGATATTTAAACTGAGAAAGAATCATCAAGCCATGGCATTTGGCTTGATTTTAAATGCATTGGTGACAGCACTAATTGCAATAGGTACGTTCTATTTATATGTGTTTGTGGTATTTAATTACTGAGTTGAGTGGGTGTTCTGGAATATCAAGGGCGACTTTCCCATAGACTTTTGCACAAACCTACACTGTCACCTAACCCAAATTTACGTAATCCTTTTCCCACGAAATTCGGTACTTTTACTAATTGGATCACAAGGAATCGATCTAGATGGTTTGCGACACTAAAATTTCTTGTCCTAAAAGTCGCAACCACAAAAGGGCTATAGTTATATGTCGCCTTGATAAGATGTGTCACTCTAATGGGGCGCAGTCAGCAAAATCTGTCGCCCTATTATAGCATACAGTGGAATAATAATAATAAATATAATATTAATAATTTCTACTTATATATACTAATGCCATAATAGGGCGCGAAATTGTGCACAAACCTAAACTGTCACCCAATACCCGAGTTTACTCTATCTTTTCGCCACAAAATTCGGTGTGTTTTTTTTCTAATTGGATCATGAGAAATCGATCTAGATGGTTTGCGACACTTAAATTCCTCGTCAAGGTGTGTTTTAGCAAGAGGGTGACCCCAAATTTTCGCCCCAATAAGGCGTGTTGCCCTAATTCAGACTCGACTCTGTAGTTTATGGGTCCTTACAAAGCGCGTTTATCTATGATTAAAGCGCTTCACATTATTATAACCCCTGATCATTGGGCCAATTAAACATTCCAAATACCATCTCAGCTCCCTGGGAGTTTACAGCTCGATGCAGCCTGTTAGGGGCAAAGCTAATTCAATCGCAATAACCATCTCTGCCCTCACAGGTACCCATTTACTCCTTGGCGGAGATAAGCAATGATGACAAAGTGGCTCGCCAAATGGCAAACGCACCATAGCCACAGGCTGGACTCGAACCAACAACCTGCAGTTTACCCGCAGACCAAGAATCCAATGCCCTTAACCAGGAGGTCTTAGCACTCCACAACATAATGGGTAAAAATCACCATAATGGGTAAAAATCCTTCAGATTGTGGGTTCGAGACACTTAGTCGCCACGCAGGAATTAATTGGTAAATGCGAGAGCTTTTTATGTTGGTTGCTTTGCACCTTAATGGCAGCATTGACTTGTATAATCCTAGAGAGATGGTTGTTTTATGATCCCAACGAGCAGGGGTACTATTGATGTTAACCCTAAAGGGGCCGGGTTATTTTGACCATCTCTCAGCCGGGCGGGGGGCGGATTCCGCCCCCCCCCCCTAAGATCTCGGCCATCGAGTGACGAAAAATTTTGAAACTCAGCAAATGCATGAAGCAACTCTTCCTAAACATGCCCAAGCAATTTCATGACTATAGGTCAAAGGGTTTTGGAATTATGGCTAATTAATTATTCATATGTATGAATGGCAATTCTGCTCGGTGTACACGACGTATATGCGAAAATTAAGTTTTCACGGCGCGTAGCGCCGGAAAATTTTTCGCTACGTGCCAACCCGTGGTCCGATTTTTATGTTTTTGGTATCAAAAGATGCGCAAAGCTCGAGGCTAAAAGTCATAACAGCTCGGGTCGCGAAAAAAATTTTTTTAGAAGCTATCGCGAAAAATGTTGAGGGGAGGGCGGATTTCCCCCCCCGCCCCTTTAGGGTTAAGCGTTTTGAGAGTCCCATCTGCTTGCGCTACAAATAAAGATATTATTCCACGACATCATATGATTTTAAGGCATGAAAAGTGTATTTTTTTGTTTAAACTCATCAACACTGAAAAGTAAAGGAACAAAGTACAAAAGCTTATAATATACGCCGTCTTGATGTTTTTCCCCCCAAAACATCATCGTATGGATGGTTGTTGAGCGCCCTCCACGATAATTTTATTATAGGTACGCAGTTCCGAGTTAGTTCAAAACCCATTTTTCCAATGTTTTTCTTTTTAAAATTTGCGGCTTTGGATTTTTTTTAATGGGCAATAAAGTTCGAATAAGGTTCAAATTCAATGTGCGTTTTCTTTTAATGTTTTTTTTTTCTCATGTTCTAGGGAAGCAAGGTCCTAGACCTCATAGCGTACACCTCATTGGTTATGTCGTCTTGAAAACAAATTCGCGTCCTGCCCCAGCGGCTTAGGTGCAGTGTTGTAGTACTCGTACTCGGGGACTACTAGAGTACTTTTTGGAGTAGTCGTACTCGTACTCGAATGTCAAAGTACTCGTAATCGACATGTCGAAATTGTACTTGATCATCATAGTACTCGTACTCGAATAGCAGTACTCGGGGGGGGGATACCAAGGCCTTATTTTTATCGATACTTTCAGTTTGAAATGGTTGATTGGCTTGTGGAGAAATTCCTCTGTGCACGTCCGAACAAACACATTTAACATTTTAGCCGTGAGTGGGGCTGTATATCGGTCTGACTGGGCCTGGGCCGCAATGACACACAATGAACCGTGTGCCGTATGGCCGTATTCGGACATACAAGTACTCGTACTCGTACTCGGAAGTACAGTACTCGAACTCGCACCCGGAGGTACAAGTACTCGTACTCGGAGACCTGTTCTTGTACTCGGAGGTACGAGTACTCGTACTCGTACTCGGCAACCTAAGTACTCGACAGTACTCCGTACTCGGGAAAAAATACTCGACAACAACACTGCTTAGGTGCGCCTCTCCCTATTTCCCCCTCACACTTCTGGCTCGCACTTCTTGCCCTGTATTTTCACAACATGTTTTCACTCGTTTGTTTCTTTCTTTATTTTTCTTCCCGAATAATGCAGTGGTCAGTTCGGTCTCAGCCCAAGTTTGTACTCTGATGATTGACTTGGACTCACGCAGTTGCGGACAGCGCATGGGGAGATTTGTCCTGCCACCGGGGGATCCTTGCACCTGTACAGGGGTCAGACTGGGCGGTCATCACCACCACTACGCGCCTGTTATGCAGGGACAGGATCCACCGTTGTATATGGACATGCTGCCGGAGGTGACTGCTGAAGTCATCGGCGGTTGGTTCAATTGCACCTCGACCAAGCCGGAGGAGTCGACGCTTGGAGTCACTGAAACCGCCCCAGAGTCAACTTCTCATGCTGCCCCGGGGTCGACACCTGTTGCATCGATTTCTAACGACACGACACCAGTTGTCAGCACCACCTTTGAGCCGTCGATGCCGCCTGCAGATTGTCAACAGATCTTGGATGCTGGTCAGACATCTAGCGGCGTGTATACCATCCGGCACAAACACCAGAATATGCAGGTCTACTGCCGCATGGAGCCGGAGTCGGGGAAAGGATACATAGTGAGCGGGCCTTAAGTTCTTGTACATGTATATGTATCAAAAGAAAAGGCAATCCAAAAATATTGGGTTAATGTGCAAGAGATATTAACTTGAACCTTGTCGAAGTGGCTCCACCTTAAAGGGTAGGTCATTAGCTTTTCATTGAAAACTTATTGACATCTCTTCCGTCATGAGTGACTGCGCGTCAAAACAAAGGCAAAAAAAAAACATGTTACCAAGTTTGCTGAAGAAGTGGTGAGCTAAGCTGTCGGATGAATGCGCTGTCGCAGCTGTGGACAGTGCGTTAAAAGTATGTTAGAGATGTTGGTACATAGAATGTTTTCCATTAAAGATTGATCATTCGATAGATTCTGTTTATCCTCACAAAGCCAAACACCTTATTGTTCAAAGTTTACCTGATTAAGTGGCAAATTGAGCCACCCAAAAACGTGGGCAGTTAGAGTGGATTATGTGTTCAATGGGACGAGAGAGATGTGTTGAAAGTGTTTGAGTACAAATGGCGTATCAAAGTTTATGATTAAATCAATTATCGAAACGATTATTTGTTTACTCATTAAAATAACATCGCCAGCCCATTCCAAGCTACGTTTAAAAGATTTTTGAAATGTGTTGATGCTGGTTTATGATAATTGACAACACAAGGTACCATTTTGAGCACTGTCCACGGCTGGATCAACGCATTCTTCCCACATCCTAACTCACCGTTTTTTTGGTCTTTGTGTTGCATTTAATAGGGCTCGGTTATCTGTGGCTGAAGAGATGCAATTAAGTCATCAATTGAAAGCAAAGCACTTTGACATTGTTCAGGTTTTGTTTAACTTGTACACACGAGCCCATTGTTTTTGAATTACCTGATTTATGGTGCACCCCGTATTTTACACGTATAACATGGTCAACAGATGTATGCAAATTTAGTTATCAAAATTTATTTGACGTTGAGAACATCAACCCCCCCCCCAAAAAAAAAAAAATTCTTAAGGCCATGTTGTTTTCAACTTGTTGTACCGAGCAGTGTTGTTGGTGCAATGCAAAAAGGTCCATGCATACGTATACTATAGTTCCTGTCAGATTTAAATTGCTACTAATTTAACGAACACAAAATCGACAAAGGCGGCGAGAATTTCGAATCCACCCCCCAAAAAAAAAAATAATAACATCAGAAAATGTATTGCTGTAGACAAGCTCTGACAGACTGACACCTAGTGTAGTGGTTGTTCTGGTGGATGTCTTCTGAAATGTCCAAAATGTTCTATGGGTGTGTCTATGTTTTATTTGTTGGTATGGGTGGGCGTGGGTGTGTGTGTTGGGGTGTTTGTTTGCTTGTTTGTTTGTTTGTTGGGGTGTTTTTTTGTTTGTTTGTTGGGGTGTTGGGGTGTTTGTTTGTTTGTTTGTTTGATAACTCCACCGAATGGCTGCGACTTGTGTTCTAAAACGCAGGTCTTAAAAAGTCTTAGATTGTGCTTGGGCACATCGTTGATTCGCTACAAACTGTTAAACCTGAGCATGGGTAAAGCGATGGTGGTAAACATGTATCAGTGTGACCATCACTCATATGCTTTCTGACAGGTGTTCCAGAGACGCATGGATGGCTCGGTGAGCTTCAACCGAACCTGGCAGGAGTACGCCGAGGGATTCGGGAATCTGACCGGAGAGTTCTGGCTGGGCAACCAACATTTGCGTAGTCTGACTCGTAACTTTAGGCAGGAGCTGGTCATCACTCTGAGGGCATTCGATGGGGAGGAAGCCCGTGTTCGTTATGAGATTTTCAACGTACACTCATCTGAGGACCATTACAGGATTTTGTCGGATGGCTTCAGTGTGGAGAGTGGAGATGCAGGTATACAGAATCTCTGTGTTTTCATAAGCTTTTACTTTAAGACTGCTCCCATAAAATACCATGTCTGGCGTTGTTGTCTACGATATAAATCCGGTAGAACCAGCGGTGTAGCCAGGGTTGTCGTCCTATCCTGGAGGAAGGGAAGGGGGGCTGGATGTTTCAGTGGAGGTTGGAGGAGTGGCGGTCAATTTCGTCCATGCTGAAAGGTAGATAATGTTAATTTTTTCCACCAGACATCCGGCCACCGTCAAGTCAACATAGAGAAGGAGTCCTGTACACAATCGTCCAATGGTGGCGCGTTTCAAAACCGACATCATGGTCAATATCAGACAATAGGTGGCACTGTTCGTTTTCAACTGGACGTTTGCGAACAAAACAAGGTTTTCGTAAAAAAATATATTAACAAACGTGAACAATGGCCTCTCTTGATAAACCCACTAATCGTGGTAAATTACATACTGTGATTTTCTCCGAAATGTCTAGTGTCGGGGCGACTTGGCATGTGGTCTATGCAATAAACAAAAAACAGATCGTGCCTGATGAAATAGATTGAAGAGAAAGGAATCGGTTCAAACGCCACACGTGTATTTAAAAGTGGTGCCTTATACAAGGTCTGATCATCCTTTCTTATGCACATCTTAGGTGATTCACTCGGGTTTGTTAACAGCGACTACTTCTCAACTCGAGATGATGACAACGACTCAGATGGGCAAAACTGCGCTGCGAAACTTCACGGAGGCTGGTGGTACTATGACTGTAGTGGTAGTAGAAATAAATACAGCAATCTCAACGGCTTGTACTACAACAACGCAACGGTCGATGATTACATGGGGATACAGTGGGTCTCCTGGAAGGGTAAACAGGTCTCTCTCAAAGGGTGCGAAATGATGACACGACCCAAATGGTAAGCGTAACCAGTGAAAGAAAGGATCCTTAATGAGACGACGGTGCATGCAACGGGGTGGATAATGGGGGCCCAGAACTAAAGTTACGAGTATTTTCGATAAAGAAAATTCGCTCTTTGGGGCAAAAAGGTTTGAAACTATTTGAAGGGAAAAGGGGGATGGGAGGAAAGATATATAATCAATTAATAATGTACTGTTCATGCTGTTCCGGTGTTTCACCCCCCCCCCCCAACAAATATTACATTGCGGGTATTTTTGCAACTACAATAGTTATTCATGTTTAAATGAGATATCGATCAAAAACAAATCGTCCAATCTTATAGTTAATAAGTAATTTATCGCAAGGAATGACTTGTTCCCGCCCCTTTTCAATTTTCAATTCAATTCAATTCACTTTTTTTTTCAACATAAAAAAGACAATCAGAGTTAAATGTATACAAAATATGTGGATGGGGATCCCTAAAAAGTAATGCTTGTCGTGTAGAGATCCCCAGTTACAATCATACAAAAAGTTACACCCACAAACAACACATAAGGACACAACACCAGACATGATATATGCATATACCAGTCTACTTGCAAACAAAAGGCATTGTCTGTAACATTCAAACATGCAAAGGTTAAAGAAAGGACTCTGTTGGAGAGTATGTTTTAGTGGAGGTATATAAAGTCTATGTAATCTGAATGGGAAACCAAATTTTAATTAGTAAGGCACTGGTACAGTTTCCTGAGGTTACACGCTCACGTCCAGCTGTTCTTGCTTTTAGCTAACTCTGATCGAGAATGGAACGTAGTTTTAGTTAGTTAACCACCGCGGTTAACCATTAAGCAGTGATAACAGCGATTTTTCTCTCAAAACTCTCCAACTTAAACTGTTGAATATAATATCGATATTAAAAAAAAGTTTCTTCGTTTACTAATTTTAGTCTTAGTACGGTATAAGTCACTGGCCGTGTCATGGGAAATGCAAGGCCATCCAATACAAGAGTCAATTGCCATCGGATACCTACAGATTAGCAATCTGATCACTTGCGTAATTTTTGTGTGCGGTATTTTATACTCTGATGACGTCACTTCAAATGTCATCTAGAACACAGCATGTACATAATACGTATATATCAAGTTACGAACAAATCGAGCATATAATTCTGTAGATATAGGCATTTACTAGAAAATTCCCCTTTAATTGATGTCACCCGACATGTGATGATGTCATCACTTGAATTTTCATCTATAACATAGGGTCTTAGCGCATTATGCTTATTTATTAGTAACATTTTGTCATTGTACCAGGGTTGAGGTCAATCCGATGAAAATGTAGAATTTTGGAAGCAGACTTATTAAAACAATCATGACAAATCAACGGATGACATAATCAAAACTGTGTACATATGCCTTTTACCTAAAAAAAAAAAGAATTTGGAATTTAGCATATTGCGTTTGTGAGATATTGCTTATAGGTCCAAAAATTCAAAATTATGCGGAAAAGCCAAAAAAGAAAGAAAAAAGCGCCGTTTCAGTAGCTCAACGGAATCTGTTCCCTTTTCATATTCTTTTTATTAATTAAATCACCGCACTCTTTTCTTTTTTATATCAAGCAATTGGCTCATAGCGGATCCGCCTGCAGATTGTCAAGAGATATTGGATGCTGGTCAGAACACTAGCGGTGTGTATACCATCCAGCACGCATGCCAGATTATGCAGGTCTACTGCCGCATGGAGCCGGAGTCGGGGAAAGGATTCATAGTGAGTACAGTTCCTCATTTGTCCCAAAACCAAGCTGTGTTTTACAGGTCAAATCTGCACAGTGGAAGGAATATAAATTAAGCTCTATGAGGAGGCTTACAATTAGACAATTTAGAAATGAGTTCTTGAGGCAAAGCTTTGTCCATTTCCAGTACCAATCACTTTTAAAAGGAAAAGCAATGTAATCAGTATACACACAGCGGTAAGTCGGGTACCGTAAACTATTGAACCAGTTACTCTATAACCAAAATCACCCGGAAATTGGAAAATTGGACCATACATACAGCCCAGAAAGTCCTGTTGATTGCGTTCGATTATTCCCACGCGTGTACTCGTGCAAGCGCGACAGCATTTGATTTACCTCTCACGTGACTTGTCGCGCTTACTCGAGCCTGGCCCAAGTAACCAACTCGCCGAGCTGCAACTTATGTAACTATCCCATAAGGCCAAGCAACGGCTACGAATTATTTTCAGCACGTCCCCGCGTATTTTTACTGGGCGTTGACGTGCTTTAGACACTGTTTTCCGTGAAAATATGTTTTGCCCCCCTTTAGAAAAAAATGCTGGCGACGCCCATGCTTCCAGCTCTTGCACAAAACTTTACCCAAAACATTTCGTTTATTTAGCTGCTCATGTCTGTCATCACGCGAGTGAGCTGGGGGAAGTAATCGAACGCACATATTATGTTGTACAAAACTACAATTATATTGAAATGAGTTACAGGGGCACACAAGCTCTATATTCTCCTCGGCGGAATTAACAAACTAAAGCAATACAAAGTTGGTTAAAAACTTAATATTTCGTTTACCTGTTCTATAGAACAACGTTCACTCGTCATCAAAAAAAAGAAACCTTTGAACCTCATTTGCCAAAACGTTTGATTACATTTTATATTCCAGTGAACCTATCACATATTCCTGGGAAAGTGTATTTAGTGTAAGTTTATCTCATAATAACATGTGTTTGTATTGTTTCTCACAGGTGTTTCAGAGACGCCTGGACGGCTCGGTGAGCTTCGAACGAACCTGGCAGGAGTACGCCGAGGGATTCGGGAATCTGACCGGAGAGTTCTGGTTGGGCAACCAGAAGCTGCGTAGTCTGACTGATAACGGGAAGTGGGAGCTGGTCATTACTCTGAGGGCGTTTGATGGGGACGAAGCCCGTGTTCGTTATAGGGACTTTAGGATATTCTTCTCAGATTACGGGCTCTCTGCATATGGTTTCAAAGCGGAGAGTGGATATGCAGGTACATAATACCTTCTTGCATGTATATTCCTTCCATTTGCAGGGCCTTATCTTATAGCACAGCATTTGGTGCACAGTTTTCTACGAGAAAATTCTAGTTTTACTGCGCTATTCTCGTCTTATTACAAAGAAGACTGATAAAACATATTTATTCAATGTTTAAATATGTAACATTAATCGACATTCTGTCGCTGCTCCTATCCCAAATAGATGCTTCCTTTGGCCGCTTGCCTATATTAACACAACACACAAATTAACCTAAAATGGAACTTACTTTTGTTTTTCTTTGCAGTTGAGTCATACAACTGCATTTATTTCAACTTTTATAATCCACATTCAAAAGGCTGAGAGGTCTCAAATTTTTGAGCTGTACTCTCAATATTTTAAAATTAACCGGATCAAGAGCATATTCATAGAATCTGGAAGGCAATCTGTACGAATATATTCATTCACCACTATAAAATCTCTTTAAAATCATCTTTAATAAGCAACCTAAGAGTTTAGTTTTAACGGCCAAAATGATTTCGTTTTCGTCGAAATCCCTCTCCATATCTGGCACAAGATCCTCGCGTAACACTGCACCATCAATGGAATTAAGAACACAGCTAAAATCTTCATTGCAAATTCCTTCACTAGAATGCAAGTTTTGGTAAAACGAATACACCAGAGGTCTTATAAGGAAACGGACTTATGAGGCGTTTTTTCCGCCTCATAGCTCCATCAAAATACTCACTTTAACTCAACTTCTCGTTAATAAGGTGGAAAGATTTCAGGCTTTTCTGCACTTATCTAATGTTTCTGAGGAACAATTAGATATAAAGAGAGATCTTAACCCTAAAAGGGCCGGGTTATTTTGACCATCTCTCAGCCGGGGGGATTCCGCCCCCCCCCCCCAGATCTCGGCCATCGAGTAGCGAAACATTTTAAAACTCAGTAAATGCATAAAAGCAACTCTTCATAAACACACCCAAGAAATTGTATGACTATAGGTCAAGGAGTTTTGGAATTATGGCTAATTAAGTATTCATGTGTACGAATGGCAATTCTGCTCTGTGCACACGACGTGTACGGTAAAATTCAGTTTTCACGGCGCGTAGCGCTTGAAAAATTTATACATTAGTTTTATAGTGTCTGGTGTCATCCAAGGACAACATTAATTTATTCTCAACTCTGACCATTTAAATAGGAGCATGCTTATTACAAATCTTCAAAAACTCATTACGCCAGGTAGTCCACACCCTTTCATATTCCGAATGGCTACCCTCGTTTCCCAATTGGAAACTCGTAAATCTGGTTACAAGCAGGTTACACACAAGGTTGAATGGATTGCCCGACACCCATGCAACATTTCATCAGTGGTTTTACCATTAACAAATCCAGATGACCATGTCTAAAAAAAAGTAAGGAGACTATACCCACAAAAGTAATCAAAAGAAAGAAAGCCGTTCAAATGTCATTGTATACGTAGCCCCTTCCTGCAAATGTCCAAGCAGCATTCCGAATCCATTTAAATACTTACACAAGATCTGACGATCCTTCCTTTCTAATTGCACAGGTGATTCACTCCGGCATCTTAGTTTTAGATACTTCTCAACTCCAGATAAAGACAGTGACCACACCGACGGGGAAAATTGCGCTAAGAAATTCCACGGAGGCTGGTGGTACTACCACTGCGGTAGCGACATCAGCGACAACTTCAAGAGCAACCTGAACGGCTTGTACTACAACAACGCAACAGTCGATGATTACATGGGAATACAGTGGGTCACTTGGAAGGGTAAACAGGTTTCTCTTAAAGGGTCCGAAATGATGACACGACGACGCGGACCGCATTAACAGACGACACAGAAACTGGGGGACAGAGGGATCGCACGACCGCAGTTCGGAGCTTGTCTGGTTCCCAGACCTGACAATAATTCCCGACGTTCACGTCTAAATTGTAGGTCAGGCAGCCTCCGTGGCTAAAAATAAACATGACGACATTGATGGCCCTTTTCAAATTTCGGCTCCGTTTCCGATTTCGCTTTATCACTTATAGCTTTTAATGTACTGATCAAATGTTTAAATAAATCACTTGCTTTGTAATATCATACAGTTAATATAATACAGTTTGATATTTCTGCAAGACAACATTGACTAATGTTGATCTGGAATCTTAAAAATTAGGCAGCCAAAAAGCACTGTTAGCAGGCGGAGCCGAATGAAGACCGAGTTTTGGGTAATCTCGGTAACGGTCGTCAAATTTAAAATAGTACATGACGCAGCAAAAAGTTCGACCATACGATCCGAGTACACTTGATGCACAAAGTCGTCCTTGAATTTCAAGTTTTCTAAATGAAAGCAATGAATATTAATTATGAACTCATTTTAAACAGTTTTTATAAGCAATTAGCAGTTAAGTAAACCGATATTATACTCGGATATACTCAGGCGCTAGCCGATTGTCGACGAAATGAATCTGGCAATCTTCGGACATTTTCGGGGAAAAAAAGGAATTTCTCCCATTTTGGTCACGTGACGTAAATTGTCATACAATGTATTACCGGAGGCTATCTGATCCGAGATTCATCAGGAATAGTCAGAATATTTTGGTCTGGGAACCAGACTAGGTTTGGAGCAAGGGCGCTGTTAGAACTAATTGCTCGAATGACACATCACCTGGGCAGAAGAAAAAAATGGGAGTATATTGCCCCTAGCCTTTTCCCCGGTTTTAGGTTAAGTGGGACATAATATGAGTATGAAGCTTTTTTAAAGTGATGCTTGATTAGGTGTAAATCGTATTTTTGGGGTTATATTTAGGCACATATATTTAGTGTAATTCATGTTTTAAAAGAATATAGGTTTCCCCGCACAAATTAGTCTTAAAAATTCATGATCTTGCATATCCAAAGTTCAATTTCGTCTTTGGTAGATCATGTTCGCACTTTTGTAAAAACAATTTTCATAGCTAAATTAGCCATACTTTTTGTGAAAGACAATTCAATTTTGTCGTCTGCAATTGCCGAACGTATGATAGATGAATCAATTTCGTCATTGTGCAATTAATTTCAAATTAGATTCATTTAAAGTCGTCTCATGATTGCATGCTATCTTCGGTATTTTTACGTTTTCATCTGTTCATTTCTACTTTAAACATAGTAGTTTCCTTGTTAAACGTAGGCATATATCCTTGAATAAGCATTTTTCATGTAATAATTGGTATGCAAAATTATATCTTTTACAAATCTTACTTGTGTATCCATTTATTTAGTTTTTCGACAATTTTATGCGCAACGGGAAGAAATAACAGCATATGCACAGGCCAATGAAAATGTATTCTTCCCATTTCATACAAGAAATAAGTAGGCGGCCTATAGGCCTACTTATAAAAAGCACATTTTATTCATATTTTCAATCTTTCGGAAACAGTCATTTCAGTTCTTCTTCATGTCCTTTGGATTGGTTGTTAAACCTTCAATTTCTTGTCTTGCATTACACTGTACCAAATACGTCTGTGCATGGTTGCACATAGTACTCCTCATTTGACAGAATGTCCTTCTTTTCCCCTAATACAGGAGATTTGGCTGCACAGTAGGCTCATCCTATAAAAGAAATGGAAAGGAAAAAGAGAGTCCTGTCAACATAGATCAAACGACTCTATTCTGTCACCGTCACAATCATTAACACAATTTCAAATTCCTGGTGAATTTCAAAACAGAACATATTGCTGTCAATGAGAAAAGAAGCTGGAGACAATTTTTTCAAAGTACAGTTTTATGGGGTGCATTTTCAGTTTTTGAAACTGTCATGAATTTATTCATCAGTCTTATTGATAGCTCATTCATCAGCTCTTAGGGCCTATTTGGGGGTAAGCAAAAAAAACCTACCTTCTGGTCAGTAATAGGCTTACAGAGACTTCTGGATTCTCCTACGAAGAATGAAAGCAACATCAATGTTGAACAACGAAGCAGTCTTGGAATCTGTAGGGAAAACAATTATAATTGGTTCCTATAGTATAATTCATGATAAACCATTTCAAGTTTGGGGAATCACATTGATTATACCATGGTACGAAATTGTTGGACTACTCTCCACAACACATTCAAGTATTACGAACACCCATAGAGTAGATTGCAAATCACCGGCTGCTTCGAACATAATAAAAGAGCACTTTCGAATGAACTCTAAAGCACGAGTTACATGAGTAGCCCACTGAATCAGTCATTACAACGACCAACGTCATACTTCATCATGAGATCAAAACAAATCTACGTATGGTAACGTTTTCAATTGAGCAGCAGCAAAACATGAACGCAAAATTACGACACAAGTTTAAACTGTAGCTAGTGCTAAAATGGAGAGAGATAAACAAATAAACCCTTACCTCCAAATGATGGCATCATGACATGGCCCACTGTACTTTCTTTGTCGGTGAGGGGGTACTTGTTAACGGAGCGGATAGGCCTAATTCCCCAAAAATATTTTAGGCGACTCAAAAATGGCATGTGTTCATTCAAATGTTTTAAAATTTTGTAAAAGTAATACATGTACTTGCAACATTAATACATCTATTCAGTCAGCAACCGGCACTGAATTGTTGGGGCTCCAATTGCAAATTGATGGAATATCTATACTAATTTGGTTTTCCTTATGCACAGCTTAACAAACTATTGCCCAAAAGCAACAAAATTATGCAGAAAAAGAATGAAAATTCACCATAGCCTTTCGCGTAGATAGCGGTCATATTGGATTCCCAAATGCACTGCAGTTGATCTCGTGGCCGAAAAAAGGCCAATGTGTCCCGGGTCCTGATAATATTGAATCATGATAGATATGTATTTAACTAAATATCGTGTTAAATAGCTGTTTAAATACGACTGTAGTTGAGATGTAAAATTGTTTCTGTTGTCGTGCATTTGAAGGTAATGTACAACATTTGCAAACATCCAAAGAATAAACTATTATAAAATCATTGCGCCTGGTATGCTGTCATTTTCAAAAAAAGGAGAATTTTGTATACTTTTCAACAATAGTTTGGCCAACCAGCGTTGTAAAAAACCGGGTTTTTTTTTCAAACACTAACCCAGTTGCAATCGGTAACATTACCCTTGCTTGGACATATATAAGCCAGCTAGTCAGGTTCTCTGACCTGATAATTCCCTGAGGTCCATAAAAAGCCCCGTTTCATTTGAAGCGAAGGGTCAGGGAACCAGACAACAAGAACATCATTTTTTCAGGTCAGTGGAACGATATTTGCTATAAAATACTTACCCCCCCCAAAAAAAAAAAAATCCATCCATTTCTGGAATTACAGCAAAATCAAACGTTGTATATTACCTTTAAAATTTAATTTCATAATAAAATTTTAAAAAGATAGTTAGCAAAGTCTTGCAAAAAAGTAGTAAAGCCTTATACATTTAATAGGTGTGACGTCGTAGAAATGTGAAATTTGTCGAGTGAATCAGGAGATTTTAATCTGCTTTTACGCTTTATAATAACAATAATATTTAATCAGAGTGTAATAGCACTAAAAAGTATTTGCTGTTGACCTATAAGTTACATGTTTAATTTAGAAATGATTTATATAGGCCTATGTAATTGCCTCATGGATATTGGATTCCTCATAAATGCTTGATTTTGGTCAATATGAAGTTATTGCTTTTGAAGTTGTTACGCACTTTAGATGGTACTTGTTGGTTATGAATATGAGGCCGTGGGCTTGTCATGCATTGTGAGTATTTTAAAAAATAACATATTTCGGCTGTAAAAAAAGGGCAGTATCATAAGTCCGACGCCTCATAGGTCCGACGCCTCATAAGTCCGAATGAGGCGTCGGACTTACGAGGCATAAATTCCGCCTCACAGGTCCGACGCCTCATAAGTCCGACAATGGACAAACGCTGTTTCGGACTTATGAGGCGTCGGAGCTTTGAGGCGGAAGTATGCCTCATAAGTCTGACGCCTCATGAGGCGTCGGACTTATGAGCGGACCCCGAGAAAAAGCTGTTTCTGTAGCACCGGAACGACGATTCGGAGGTCGCAGGTGAAGGTTCAAAGCCCACTCTTATCAATTTCTTTGTTCAACTTAAAAAAATAATTAAATTGCACCCAGTCATTTTTCCTGTGTATTTGGAAATTCATTTTTGCGATAGAAAGCCGTATTCTCTCTGAGTGATCTCCGTTCGCCATTTCCTGTGTTTGCAGCATTGCTAATGTTGCTAGCATTGTGACTTGGGGTATGATTCCTGGCTACATGGCATATACGGGTTTATGGCTTGTGACTATCGCCCAAGAACAAGGAAAGTGACAAAATGGGGAGCCGCCATCATAGGGCTGGATAGCTCAGCGGGTAGAGCACTGGAACGGCAATCTGGACGTCGCTGGCTGAAACCAAGCTCCACAAAGTTACTTTGTTCAAATATACAGTATGTTTTATTTGCTTGAAAATTTCCCTAACTACGATACAGTGAAAATCATGATAGAAAATTGAATATTTTTTTTTCTCTCTTTAAAAAAGCACCACGGACTAGAAGCCTATACGGCAGGGTATTATCGTTCAGATTAGAAATATTTATTGTGTGATTGGAAAAAAAAATTGTGTGTGTTAATAAAATGTGTATGTGCTTGTTCATTCAATCATTTTAATCATTCTATTTAAACAATTCGATTTTGTTCAATTCTGTTCATTAAATGTAAGGAAAACGTGCATATAGTATGTGTAGCTTTGAGGGTTTTTTTCTTTTTTCCAGATGTATATTAATGTTAGATAAAGTAGTTATCGTTTCAATGTCGGTGATATTACCTAACAATGACCCTGTACCGCAGACGGCGTTAATCCCAGGAAGAGGGTGCGTGGGGACAACTCCCGTCCCCCTCCCTCCCCCTTCCTCCTCACTACTCGCAGGCCGTGTGAACAGCGCTCATGGAGTCGTAT